ACTCTCTCACTCTGATCAGCCCCGAGTCGGCTTACCCTAATCACGTGTACAGTTGTCATTGTTTTCACAGCTAAATGTGAAACCTGTTGGGTTGTACCCATGTTGTCATGATGCACCAGCGTAGTTACTGAGTGTTGAACAACAGAGCCTGTTCCCCACTCTATTCTGTTATCCGCCTGCTTTCACTTTAGTTTCCCACAACGCCATAAAGAGGTCGGTAGAAAGTTCCCGGAGTTCCTAAAACTGGCCAATGTGTCATTTGTCCCTCTTTGGATAATCTCAGACAAAAAAGTTATTCACATCTAGGTTTCCATACGCACGCACGCATGCACGTACGCACGCACACTTGAAATTTGCATGGGTCCTTATCGGCAGCTGAAGTGGCTCGCCACATCACGCTGCACTATTCTGTTTGTGACCTTGAAAAATGCTAATTAGATAGATGTGATGTCACAAGAGACATAGATGAATAGAAAAACACCGGTATAGGATGTGATAATCTCGGTTTCCTTGGCAAACGTGATCCACGAGGTGTACAGAACTTGAGGAGAGGGTCGAGTATATGCTGCAGCAGTTAGACCAGTTCTGCTATACGGTGCAGAGAGTCGGCCACAACGGGAACAGGATAAAAATAGACCGTCGATTTTCGAACACTGCTGCCTATGTCATATTGCTCGAATTTGGTGGGGAAATCGGACAAGCAATGCTGAGGTTAATTATAGAGTTAAAGGTAAACTCGGTTGCTCACTGGAGCAAGTAGTTGGAGCATGTGTTACGCATGTCACCAAATAGGTTGCCACGACGAGCGATGTTTGCCGAGGCAGATGGTGGGTCGAATAAAGTCAATGGTGGTCAGTCTTAGACCTGGCAAGAGGGCATGAAAACCTTAACCAGGAGACCGGGTCACATAGGTCCCATTAGGTTCCCTGGCTGGGGACCCCAAGATCATCGTCACCGATGGTTACAGTCACTGAGTGATATGGCTAGTGTAACGGCATTGAAATCGAAGTGATCGGACATGTGTTCAGTACTAATAATTGTCTTACGTTCCCTGTCCCTTTCAGGCGCACAATGGTTGAATACGCTGAAAACTAACAACGAACAAACAGAAGAGTCAGCAAATACGTGAGAACTCATAATCGATACGAACGTTGTGTACTCCCTCTCCCCAGACACAGTTTGTACATTGCATTTTGCTGTTCGTTCCGTGCGTCAATGTGCGTTCGTGCGCGACCGTCATGTTCTCCCTTTATGAGCGTGTCTGACAGAGCGAGAGATGGGATCGAGTGTCGATGGTCACGATTGTCTCTATTGCTATCATTTTAGAGCGTTCTCGCGGGTCTTCACACCGGCTGCGTGATTTCCGTACACTCCGTTCACACTAGGTGTCACAAACAGTGACATTCACGCATCTGCTTATTAGTTTTGCAACATCATTCTATGGGTGGCCAAAAGATAGCAACCCAAACCGGTACACGAAAGTGCGTGGTTAATGGTTGTAAAAACCGAACTGAACTGAACTGATCATTACAGGATGGATTAATCTCGGTTTCCTCGATAAGTGTAATCCATGGGGAGTACAGAACATGAGGAGAGTAAATAATTGACTCAGAACACGAAGCACCGCTAATATTCACACTAAATATACGCATTGTGATTCATCCTTTTGATTATTGAATATTATATAATAAGAGCGGCGATAGTCAAGTGGTTAAGGTCCTTGTTCCGATAACTCGTAAGTCGTAAGTTCAAATCCCGTCACCGTTGCTTATCTTTCCCGGTTCTATGCTTCCTTCANCTTCAGGAACCCATTTTTGGCCTCGGCTCCCAGAAAATGAAACGTACGTAAGTGTATTCCATAAATAAAAAAAAGTAAAAAAAGATTATTTTCTTATTATTTTAATTTTGTGTATGAAAATTATAACCCAAACTGGTCTGAAAAGTTAATCACTCACCGGAATAAGAAGCTCCCGTTCGGAGGAAGCGAATGGATGGTCCAGTCCACGGATCACGTGCGAAATTGATACTTTCCGATGCGGACGACGATGCGGATCCGACGGGGTCAGATACAGAGGCGTGAAAGTCGTGCTGTACACGGTCTCCTTCCGTTCGTCTTGCGGGATTCCACCAGCCAGAAGTCGAACGTTTTCGACGAACTCGATCCAGATCTAAGCCGTGTTCGGATACCCGGAACAAATCTGGACGGAGATTGCTGATGGCGAGTTTGAAAGGTAAAGCTTGTCCCGAGGCCTCGCTGATCTGTGGATATGAGAGAGAGCAAAATGAGTTCATTGCGAGACACGAGGTCACAACAAGTATCCATATTTGGAACCCAATACCAAGCCAGAGTTGAAAGATTCGGTTCAAGAATGGACTTCGGCAGTGATGCGATCAATTGGGAAAAATCAATTAGAGATCAACACTGCGTTGAGCTCATCTCATCTCTTTCGTCATTCACGTGAAAAATCAGTCTGAATGCAATCCTTCCATGGTGGGTATGCACTACTGATGAGCTCTAATCATAGCGAAACTCGAATCTGGTACTTCCGAGTGTATGGTTGACTGGATGAATTGAGGATTGTGCGTGAAAGTGAAGTCTGAAGGATAGTCAGTTCAAATCAACCAATATCAATTATCCCACATCACTACTCACAAATAACTGTGAGTTAAATGCGAAGCCTTGTTTGATTGTCTGAACAACGGACAACTACGTCATATCGTCGGGACATGGCAATCTCATTATTCGCTTTTGTTTGCCCTAGTTCGTGGATCGGAATAGCTACTGCCTCGATCATGCAAAGCATAATTTGCCTCAGTTGTGTATCGACAGATTCATCCATATAGATCACTTTAGATGACCTTTCGACATTTACCTACGATATGCCCCCTTTTTGACCAGTTTAATCAAGTGATAAGAACTCTGTACACCCTCCTCGTCCTCATCCTCCTTCCAGCTCAGTTTATTTTATGATTTATGACGCTACCATGCTACCATTTGATCGCATCGGCATGCAGAAGCGTGAGAATGAACAATTAAACAGAACAGCAATTATCGCTTTTTGGGAAATCCACAGAGCTCGTTAAATCAGCAAATTACCATCAAATTGTAATCCCGCTCGAGATAAAAAGTAATCTGGTTTATTCACAGAAGTGAGATACACACCCGGATCATACAGAGTTTAGTATTTGTGTTTTCGTTAATTTCTCGCCTACCAAAGCCTCCCTATGATCAGGGGGGGGGTGTCTAGGGTTACGGCTGGTCACCCCATACTTGCATCCCGTGAAATGCTCCCGTACGACCAATGCCTTCTTTCGCTGTGGGGGTACAAAACTGTGATAATTTGTGTACTGTCCTGTCCAAGTCTGCTTTCGATGAATGCTACGTCAAAGGGACCCGTTTTCACGCCGGGAGAGTAAAACATCGAGGAATGCCAACCCTATAAAAAACCGATATAAACCTATATACAAGAATGTGTATTATATCGACGCTATGTAGATGACATCTTCTGTGTTGTTGATTCCTCAATGATTCCCACTATTCAGTTGGATCAATTTAAAGCCCATAATAACAGGATTCACGATAGAAATGGAATCTTCAGAAGGGTTCGATGTATGTTAAACAAAACAAGGCGAATATGCTCGCCTGATACATGCGAGGAAGAGCTGAGAAAAAT